GCGGGAAATCGCCTCAAACTGAGGGGATTCACCCCAAATCTGCGGGAATTCGCCCCAAATCTGCGGGAAATCGCCTCAAACTGAGGGGATTCACCGCAAATCTGCGGGAAATCGCCTCAAATCTGGGGGGATTCGCCTCAAATCTGCGAGAATTCGCCACAAAACTCAAGGAACTCGCCCCAAACCCAGGGAACTTGTCCCAAAACCGAGGGAACTCGCCCCAAAACCGAGGGAACTCGCCCCAAAACTCAAGGAATTCAGCCTAAACCGAGGGAATTCGCCCAAACTCAGGGAATTCCTCCAATGATTAACCCGGAACACTCCGGCGCCCGCTCGGAATTCCGGGCCAGCCCCTCCCAGCTCCCGGCGGTTCCCACGGATTTTTTTTTTAATTTTTTTTTTTTTTTTTGGGGGGTGTTGGTGACGATCCAGGGGAGCCCCCAGCCCTTTCCTCGGTCCCGATCTCCCCCCCCCACCCGGGAAGGCGGCGGATCCCAGTGGATCCCAGTTGGATCCCAGTTGGATCCCCCTTTCCCCAGTGCCCTTTATCCCGTCCCGAAGCTCTCCGGAAGCTTCTCCACCCGGAACCCTCCGGAACCCCCCCTGGATCCAGGGAAAATCCCTCGGGATTCGCTCAATCCCTGCTGCCCCTTCCTCATTTCCCCCCGTCCTCCCCCCCAAACACAGCCTGGGGTACCCCAAAATTCACCCTGGGGTCCCTGAGGGTGGTGTATCCCCCTCCCCAAACAGAGCTCCCAAAGTGTCGCCCCCACCCCAATTAGGGGGGGTCCCGTCCAGCTCCGACCTCTCGCTCAGGGACCACCCCCCAAAAGTTTTGATTTCCCCTCAGACCTCAGCTCGGATCTTTCAGGGATACCCTGAACACCCCCAGACTCCTCAGAAACGTCCACAAAAAGGTCCTGACACCCCTCAAATGTCCCCACCCCGGGCTGGGAGCCCTCAGGGACCCCTGAACCCCCTCAGGGACCCCTGAACCCCCTCACGGACAGCCCAGACCCCCCCCAGTCCCCTCAAGGATCCCCCCCAAATCTGCCTGTCCCGGGCTCTGACCCCTCATGAGCCCCCTCAGGCACACCCCCAGCCCCCTCTGGCAGCCCTCAAAGGACTCCCTGAGACTCGAATCCCCTCAGGATCCTTCATGGATCCCCTCAGGGACCCCTCAGATCCCCCAGCCCCGCGCTCTGACCCTTCTGGGACCCCTCAAACCCCTCAGAGCCGCCCCAGACTCTGAAATCCCCTCAGGGACCCCTCAGCCCCTCACAATCCCCTCACGACCCCCCCCCAACCCCCCCCCCCACCTTGCGCTGCTGTTTCTCCCAGGCGGGGTCCAGGAGCAGATCCCGATCCCAATCGTCCTCCTGGGCCATGTAGTCGCCGTTGGGGCCTGGCCCGTTCCCGCCGTACGGGTGGGGCTGCCCCGCGCTGTGGTAGTCCACCATTATCGCCGCCCTGATGTCGCGACAGGCGGAGGACGCGCCAGCGACACACGGACCCGAATCGGGCCCCCCCCACACCCCGACTGCGCACGCGCCGCGCGCGCGCACGGCCCAGCCGAGGGCCACGCCCCCCCGCCCTCAGGCGCCACCGGAACCACGCCCACCGCCCCGCCAAGCCACGCCCACCACCCTCACGGAGCCGAGACCACGCCCACACACCAGGAGAAACCCCCGCCCACTCCCAAAGCCCCGCCCATCTCCCCTCAGACGCCCCCCCTCCATTTTGGGGACCCCCAAGAATGAGGCCAGTCCCGCCTTGGAGCCTCTTTACTGGTTAAACTGGGGAGGGTCGGGGTTAAGGGGGTTGGAATTCTGGGGTTGGTGTTGAGGACTCCGTTCCAGGGGGCTCAGAGAGAGGATGCCATGATGCTTGACACACCTGTGAGGAAAACAGGTGAGTTAGGGGTGTCCTGGTTTGGGCACCCCACTCTCTCTGCTCCCAAACTCTCTCAGAAACCCCTGGCCTTCTCCTGTAATCCCTCCCCAGACCCCCAAAACCCATCCAAAACTCCTCAGGACACACCCAAAACCCTCCTGTATTGCCCCCAACCCTGCCCCAAACCCTCTCGAGATCCCCCCAAAATCTCCTAACACTCCCCAGACCCTCTCAAGACCCCCCAACTCCTCCAAAACTTCCCTAAACTCCCACCAAGATGCCCCAAACCCCATCCAGGACCCCCAACCCACTGTCGAAGTCGATTTTCTCCACGATGTTCTTGGGTTTGATGTTCTCCTCCTGGTTGGAGATCAGGATCCGCCCCGGCTCTGGCTCTGTCCACCCGTATTTGCTCATCCACACCCTCAGCTGCGACTCTGGGGGGCACAACAGGGTCTGGGGGGGCTCAACCACCCCTCTTGGGACCCCCAAACCTTTCCCATGGCCCCCCAAAACCCTCCTGTATCCCACCAGGATCCCCCAAACCCTTCCAGACCCTCCTGCACTTCCCCAGGACTCCTCAAACCCCCTTCAAGGCTCCCCAAAACCCCATCCAGGACCCTCCCAAGCTCCCTCCAGAACCCAGTTTCCACCTGG